TAGGCTTTACAGTTCTGGAGATTTTGTGATGACGTGTGAGTGGTATTTCACTTCTATGTATATCAATTTTATCATTATCGTGCTATTATCCGTGCACTTTTATATTCTATATTTCATTTTTATTTCTTGTTATATATGTTATACAGGTACTCCTCAACTTACAACCACAATTTAGCCAAAGATGTATATTGCTAAGTGAAAAATTGGTTAAGTGAGTTTTGCCCCATTTTATGACTTTTCTTACCACATTTGTTAAGTGAATCACTGTAGTTGTTAAATTAGTAACACAATTGTTAAATGGATCTTGTTTCCCCATTGACTTGGGTTATCAGAAGGTTGCAAAAAGGGACCACGTAACCCTGGGACATGGCAACCATCATCAATGTGAGTCAGTTGCTGCAAGTCATAAGTGTGAGAATGGTCAGAAGTCACTTTTTTCAGTGTCATCGCAACTTTGAACCCACACTAAGTGAACTGTTATAAGGCAAGGACTATCTGCGTATGAACCTAGTTGTGAATTACTGCATATCTGTGTGGCTGTTTGGGTTCATGTGTCTACACACATACATACATAGAACTGCTTTTCAAGTTGTATTATTCTTTCTGCACCAACTCAGAAAGCTCAAACTGTCCAAAGAGGTGCTGATCCAGTTCTACAGAGGAATGATGGAGTCTGTCATCTGCACCTCTGTGACTGTGTGATTTGGCTCTGCAACCCAACAGGACAGACACAGACTCCACAGAGTAATTAGGACTTCAGAAAAAACAATTACTACCAACCAGCCTTCCATCGAGGACCTGTATACTGCATGAGTCAAAAAGAGGGCTGTGAAAATATTTACAGACTCCTCACATCCCTGACATAAATTGTTTCAGCTCCTTCCCTCAAAGTTACACTACAGAGCACTGCACACCAGAGCAACTAGACACAAGGAGAGTTTTTTTCCCAAACGCCATCACTCTGCTAAACAAATAATTCCCTCAACACTGTCCAACTATTTACAAAGTGTGCACTACTATTACTATTAATCTTCTCACCACTCCTTCTAACCCATCCCCTCCCACTTATGACTGTATGACTGTAACTTTGTGGCTTGTATCCTTACTATTTATTTTGACTGTTTCCTAGAAGAATTTGATTGCTTATTTGTACCCTATGACTATTATTAAGTATTGTACCTGATGATTCTTGACTCTTGACGAATGTATCTTTTCTTTTATGTACACTGACAGCATTTGTACCAAAGACAAATTCCAATGTGTGTCAAGTCACACTTGGCCAATAAAGAATTCTATTCTGTTCTGTTCTGTTCTATTATTATCTTTCTTGGCCTTATGGCTGCAGTACATTTTTTTTATTTGAACTGAAAGTCGTGCACTGCTGTCCATCAGCCTTGCACTTATGCCAAAGCAAGAAAGTCAAAAATAATTCCTTTAGATATGAGTGCATAGAAGTAATCAGAAGAGGCAAAAAACCCAACTGTATTTTGGCAAGGTGCAAATTCTTTTAATCTAGGATTCCTCTCTTATGACTTAAAAAAAATGCGCAACTCATCCAGGTTCTGCTTCCATGATAATGGAGACTCTTTGGCCACAAATAATCCAGGTCTTTCTGTTCAGACTTCACAAAACCTCAGAAATAATTGGAGAGAAGATAACTACACGTGCAGGAAGTCATGTCTTCCTGAATATCTAAGATCAAGAGAAAGACAGTGTGTAAAACCAGCTCTTAGGTGTGTAGAGATCCTGCATGGAGGGAAAGGGCTGTCTCTATTCCCCAGATCTGTACAAGAAGATCTGGAGATTCTTGGATAACACCTTCTCTGGTGTAAAGTAGAAGAATTTGGCTCTGGCCTTGAGAAGGAGATGAAAGATGTGAACATTTACGAAAATCTGAGAAAGTAGAAATTGTGGGAACAACACTTTGTTGTCCCTCTAAAGAGGCCATGAAAGAGGATGAAGAGACTTTCAAGAGTCTGTAAATACATCCTCCACATAAAATGGTGCCTCTAAAGAGGCCATGAAAGAGGATGAAGAGTCCTTTAAGAGATGAAGAGACTTTCAATATATCCTTCAAATAAAGTGACATTTCTGAAATCCTAGTGGTGTCTGTTTCTTGGCCTGGCCATGCATGTCTGGCTGACGAGCAAAGATCAAGGCAGGTCATCCCCCAGAAGAGAAAAATCCCTTTGACCCACCTCCCCTGCATATCTCCCCTACCCTGTACAGGAACCAGATCCTCCTGCCAGGAAGATAATTGATTTGATAAAGAAGCCATGGACTCTGTTCTTCTCCATTCTTCCTTCCAGTAACCTTGAAGATAGAGAAAAGAGACAAGGGAAATTAATTTCACCTCCTTCATAAACAAGACTGATCATCCACTGGAAAATGTGGCATAAGATAGCCCCTTTATTTTATTTTATTTTATTTTATTTTAAATGATCTTGTGGTGAATTCAAAGTAGAGGCGCCCTCCGGCTGTTGGAGAGAATGGGATGGTCTTCTTGAATCAGTTGCCTTGCAGATTCTCCCTTTGATCTACCCACTTGGCTGGCGATATTTCAGCAACACCTTAAAGCGAGATGGAGATTGCGTAACCCCAAAGTGTGGTGTGAAATCTGGAGCTTGGGATTTATCTGGCCACAATAACTGGAAGTTCCTGAGAATGCTGGTGAAGAAGAAGAAGAGCTCCATCCGAGCCAGGTTTTCCCCTAAGCAGACTCTCGGCCCTGAAAAGACAAAGTGAAGGAGAGAGAAGCCATTCAGACTGCTGAAGGCTGGCAACCAATTGCAAATGCTAGACTTGTTTGTTTCTCAGTGCTATGATCCCAAATCAGTGCTATGATTTCCAAAGTTGGTAACGTCTTTTGCATTCTTTCCTTCTCTAAAATGTTTATTTTCTAGGCCTCTATGCAGCGCACCTCATGTTGTTTAGACTTTAAAAAGAAGTTGAGACTCTGAGTGCAGAAAAGAGCAACAAAGATAAGTTCATACCTGGAGGCTAAAACATATGAAGAATGGTTGCAGGAATTGAGTATGTCCAGTCTAGTGAAATGGTGGACATGATAGCAGTGCTCCAAAATTTGAGGGGTGCCACAAAAAAGAGTGGGTTAAACTATTCTCCAAAGCACCTGAAGGCAGGGCAAGAACCAATGGATGGAAACTAATCAAGGAGAAAAGCAACCTGGAACTAAGGAGAAATTTACTAAAAGCAAGGACAATTAACCAGTGGAATGGCTTGCCTCCATTAGTTGTAGCTGCTCCATCACTCAGGGATTTTAAGAAGAAACTGGACAGCCACTTGTCTGCCATGGTATAGGGCAGGGGTCTGCAACCTTAAACACTCAAACAGCCATTTGGACCCGTTTCCCACAGAAAAGAAAAGACTGGGAGCCACAAAACTCTTTGGACTATCTAAAATGAAGATAACATTGCATATACCCTTTTTGACCTTTATGCTGCGTATATAAAAAAAACTATACTGTGTTGCGTTTATGAAATCAATGAACTGCTACAGAGAAAACAATTTTTTATTTCTGCGTGCAAGAAAAACATTTTGAACTCCGAAAAATCTCTCTCTCTCTCTCTCTCTCTCTCTCCCCCCCTCTCTCTCTCTCTCTCTGTGTGTGTGTATCTCTGTCTCTCTGTCTCTCTCTTTCTCTCTCTCTCTTTCTCTCTCTCCATCTTGGTCCTCCACAAATGATCCTAAATGTCACTAAATCCTAAATGTCACTATGTCGGTGAGTTTTTTGGGCTTGCTTTATTCTTTAAAACACTCAACTTCTCAAATCAATCTTCACTTCTTTCCTCTCTCACTTCAGTTCCTGTTTTCATCTCTAATTCTGACCTTAGAGATCAAGTACTTACCTATCTCATTCTGAGGGGGGGGGGAGATGGAATAATTCACCTGCTGAAAATGCCAAAAAGGCTTCCGGCTTCACAAACTCTCCCTCTTCATTCAGGAAGTTGGAGGGGTTGAACTCATTGGGGAACTTCCACTGGGATTCATCATGATGGGCAGACTGGATATTGACCAAAACCATAGTGTCCTGCACAAGCCAAGACAAGCACACAACAACTATAAGCTGATGGCGCTCCCATAAAATGAGATGCAAAAGGAAGGCTCCCATTGATCTCAACCTCTTGCTTTCTCTTGCTCTTACATACAAACACAAATGCCTCAGTTGAGGAAGACCCAGGTGTCTTCATCAAAACTTCACTTCATGTAAAGCAAGGGTCTTCAAACATGGCAAGCTGAAGACTTGTGGACTTCAACTCCCAGAATTCCTGAGCTAACATGACTGGAGGAGGAAATCTGGGAGTTGAAGTCCACCAGTCTTAAAGCTGTCAAGTTTGAAGATCCCTGATGTAAAGCAATGAAAGGTTTCTGCTTTTACCTTGGGAATTTTGTATCCAAAAAGCTGCACATCTTGTATGGGTGCATGAGGTAGTCCAAGAGGAGTAACATTTGAAACACGTTGGATTTCATGAATGACGGCGTTTGTGTAGGGCAATTTTTTTCTGTCTTCAAACTTCAAGATTGCCTTGTTTCCTATAACTGTGTCTATTTCCTTCCAGCATTTCTCTGAGGAACAAATATCTTGGTTACCTTCTGGGAAATAATTCATTGACTTTAAAGTACACAATGGTTTGTTTTCCTTTTTCTTTTCCCAATATTTTTTGTAACTATATAAAGAAAGAGCAGCTATTTCAATGTCTATATAAACAGCATGTTGTCTGGTTACAGGTAGTTTAAGCAATAGTCATTACCATAATGTTCATTAGTTGTGATCCTATAATAACAGTATTTTCTCCACATACTATTAATACTTAATTATTAATACTAAATCATATTGATAATAAATATATCATAATAAACCCTCATGGTAAAATTAACCTTTTGCTTATAATTTTAAGCATTCTAATTTCTGTTTCTGTTAGTTAACCATAGATAAAACAGATCCATGTTTCAAAATATTCCATATCTTCCTTCACTTTAATTTCAAGTGTTAATCTATCCATTTCTGCACTTTTTTTTTTACTATCTTCTCATCTGTGGGGATCTCCACACCTTTCCAATGTTGTGCAAATACAATTCTGGCTGCTGTTAACACATGTAATATTAAATACATAGTCCCTTTATTATAATTTTTCTGGTATGATACTCAACAGAAATATTTCTAGTTTTGAAGGACTTCCGGTGGCACTTCCATCAAAGATGGATCAGGGTCCCCGATTATGTGCTGCTTCAATCCCTGCTCTATCTGTTGGAGGGTCTGGTGAATGGGATCGGAGCCGCCCTGTAGGGATGGTGAAAAAAGGGGAGACCACCTGCCAGGTTGACGGGAGCCACATCTACCCTCCTTGGCTAGGAACCCTCCCTCAGAAAGCAGGCTGCAACAGTAGCCTTTTAATGGCTGCCATGAAGACGGGAAGCTATCCGGGAACTAAGTTTGTGCTGGAGTGGTGAAGTGGTGAACAATGTGTAGACCAGGCAAAATACTCTGGTTTTTTAAAAAGTAATCCTGGAAAACAGAAGGAAAGAGTACTCATTAAGGATTGTAGAAGTGGTGATTTGAAAGAAAAAGGAAAATTGGTAAAGGTAAAGCAATTGGACTTGAAAAAGACTTAAATGGAAGTGATATTATTCAGAGAAGATTCTTTAACTATAACAGAATAAGAAACTGATTATACACAATATGGATGGATGATTATACAGAAATTGGCATTAATTAGGCATTGATTAGAATGCTGGAATTGACTATATTTAAAAGAAATAACAGCTAATGATTGGAAATTAGCAGAGTTAATACAAGCTTTAAAAAGCAGAAACTAAAAGGTGGAAAGTGAAAACTGATTTAAGTGCGCCACCTAACAGTAAAGGAATTTTTTTCTGACTCTATGGAAAATTTCTGATCTAGCAAAAGTGTGAATTTGAAATAAAATAAAAGGTTTTAATACAACAGCAACCCCAGAAAGTGGAATATTAAAATACTACAGTAAACTGAGTCATCCTTCTCTTTTAATTCTAAATTCAGTTTATTATACAGTATGGGGAAAATGGTACCATTGGATAAATGATAGAAATAAGCAATTAAATAAATAAGGAATGTATAATTTAGAAAGATAGAGATATATACATACAAATAGGAGTATAAAATAGGCACTAGAATAACAATTGAAATGTAAGCACTGTCAAAATGGATTGTAATATATATAATACTTTCATTTTAAATATTTGTATTGTATTTTGTATTTTAATGTTTTAATTTTTCAATAAAGGTTTATTTATAAAAAAAATACTACAGTAAAGGGATACATGAAGATATTATTTTGGGACTGATTGGTGGACTTGGGACTGTTTGTCAAAGAGCTAGAAGGACTAACATTGGAAAATAAAGAACAATGGACATTGTTGGTAAGGATTAAAGTTAAAAGACGCTGGCCTTAACAAACTATGGGACAATTTAATTGGATATAAACATCAAAGAAGATATAGAGGAAGTTAGGTAAAATGAATGAACTATGCAAAGAACTTAGATTGGATTTGCAAAGCATGAGGGGAATAATAAAAGAAAGCTTGGAACTATGGAGCATTATGGCAGAAAAAATAGAAATGGCGATGCAGATCACAGAAGAACAAAGAAAGCCCAAGGGGGAGGAGTTGAATAAAGAGGAAGTCATCTTAAAAAAGCAAAGAAAACAACGGACATTACAAAAGGACAAAAAAGGAATTTAATCTAAGACTTTAATGATTGATGTGACAAATAAAGGGGAAATATTTTAAAGATTAAATAACAGAAGAAGTTACAGAAGAGGAAACTACAGAGAAAAAATCAGGAGAGGGGGTTAAAATAAACAAATGGGAGATGAAACTAAGAAGAATAACAGGGGGAAAAGGTTAAGAAAAAGGACTGAAAAATGATAGAAAAGGGAAAGCAAGCTAAGATTAGAAGAAATTATATAGCCAAGAAACCAAGAGATGGTTAAAGATATAAAGGATGAGGGATTCCACATGGAAATGTATTTTGGTATTTTAGAATATAGATATATAAGCTAGGGAGTTTGGAATTAAAAGTTTATTGGGAATTATTGTTAAAATAAACAAATAAATTTAATCGGAATAGAAAGGGAAATAATTATCTAAGATATAATTATATGATGTGGAAAGTGGATATGGTGTAAGAGAATTAAAAATGATTGTATTGTTATCAATTTTTTTATAATGGATTAAATGGGAATGAAATAGAAAATATAATTTGCTATATAAATGTTATTGGAAGAATAAAGAGTATGGACATTAAAAATGATTATATTGTTAAATAAGGATTTAAAATAAGATTATTATATAATAATTAGTACAGTGATGAAGAAAAAGAATACAGAGTATGGAAATTAAAAAGTATAATATTGTTATTCATATTTACAATTGGTTAAGCAGAAATAAAATGTGAAATATTAAATTGTTATACAAATGCTTTTGGAATAAATATAAGATTTATTATGTAATAGGGAAACAATAGCATGTGGATTGGGGGAAAAAGAAATATATGCATATATAATAGTAAATAGGAGATCATTGTTGTTAATATAGGATGTCGCTACTAAAAATGGCTATATTGATACTAGAGGTTTTTTTATTATATATTGGGTGTAAGGGAATAAAATGGGGAGAATATATCAAATAAAAATAGATGGCAAGATTTATTGACAATGAAAGGGGATAAATATTGGAGAATATATTTTAGGATGAAATTGTTTTTTTCTGAAAATGATGAATGAAATAACATGAAGTGACAAAACATATTAAAAGAAAAATGGAATAGGTAATGATACAATATGAAACTGGATAAGAAAGCTGAAAATGTAATTATGATTATGTATGTATGTTACAACCTGGAATCTCATTGTTCACTCAAAGAGATGTTTAAAGAATAAAAATAAAAAAAATATTGGAAAAAAAAAGGAATATTTCTGGTTTTAAATCTATATGTTCCTTTGTCATTTTTTCTATTCAAGTATGTATTTTTGTCCAATATGTTTTTGCTTTTGGGCACATCCACCACATGTGATTGAATGAGCCCGGACTCTGATTACCTGTAAGCACTGGACTTTTCCACTTCAACCGAAAAGAATGAACTTCTGAAAACTAGGTACTTCAAAAGGAATTCTTTATTGAAAGGAAGTGGTCCCGGTACTAGTCAAAGCAGAATCTAAGATGCTTCCAGGCATACAGTAATATATAAAGGGAGTTAGAACCCCTCCCCTTGTCCTGATGTGGATTTAGCCAAACAAAGAACCAATATGTTAATTCCCCCCCACTCTTTTCTGGGAATGGGAACGTATCTTAGAAAAGTTTCCCAGGGAGTATCTTTCAGAGCTGGAATTTTTATGGTCCCTTCTCCTCTTGCTATCTCTCCAAGAGGTGACAAGTTTCTAGACACCTTGCTCCAATCCTCCAGTTGTATATCATGTGCAAGTATACAGATTCAATATAAGATTTAAAATATTCAGGTTACATCAAAAAGGATTACTTGTACCAACTTCCCTCCCTCTTCTTCCATTGAAGAATGGTTGATAAACGGATCTGACATTACCCTTCCAACATTTAGCTGACATACCTTTATACATCCTGGCTAATCTTGCTGGTGGAAAAAGCCATCTGTGGAATGTTTTATATAAATTTTCTTTGTATGCAGTAGACATTGTTTCCCAAGCAGGTGCCCACAAGAAGTGAGGGGAATGAAGTTGTTTCCAGCCATGATAATTCAGGAACCTTCCTCACTTTTCATAATAAATAAAGTCGTTACTATTACAGGTCAAGAACCCTATTTCACAATTCTTTACCTTGGATCTCTGGAAAGGCCATCAAATACAGCAATGCCCACTGCAGTGTTGCCGCCATCGTCTCTGTTCCAGCCACAAATAGGTTAGACAGCAAGATTAGTAGTTGCTCTTCCTCAAAACTTGAACCTTTCCTCTCCGGCTTTGATTAGTTAAAACAAAGAATATTATTACAATCGAATGGAAAAAGGACGTCCTCCCAGTCATGTATCTTCTTTAATTCAGTTGATAACTTCAATTTAAAAGTAGGAATTCATTCTGAAAAATATGACTCAAAATAGAAAGGAAGTAGGGAGAGAAGCAATAAGCAACTTCTGGTGATAACACTGTCAGATCCATGTATCTGCCATTCTTCAATGGAAGAAAGGGGGGAATTGGATTTGATAATGTGGTGGGATTCAAATTTTTTTTACTACTGGTTCTGTAAGCGTGGCTTGGTGGGCATGGCAGGGAAAAAATACTGTAAAATCTCCAGTCAGAGGCGGTATTTGCTGGTTCTCCAAACTACTCAAAATTTCTGCTACCGGTTCTCCAGAACTGGCCAGAATCTGTTGAATACCACCTCTGATTTGATACATTTAATTCTTTTCCTCTGTATGTATCCTAAATATCCTATTTCTTATATTGGCTTTGTATAACCTTTTACATGATTTATAACTGTTGCCTGGTGCCCCAGAACCCTAGAAAAATCTCACCTCTTTGAGGGATGTAAGGGGAGAAGGGGCTGTGTGGATTGCAGCACCAGAAGATAACTCCTGGGAACCTTTCCTTATCTGCTTTCTCAGCGATGGTGGGATAATAATATGTTCACCCCTGCAGATTGGTGGAATCCACATCAGACTGCCGGGAGGGGTCTCTAATTCCCTTGATCTTAGTTGCATGCCCTGAGGGACCCCAGGCCCTGCTTTGAAGGTTGATCTGCTTTACCCCTCTTCAATAAAGGATTCCTTTTGAAATACAAAGTTTTCAAGAGTTCATACTTATACTTTGAAGTGGGTGGGGGGAGGGGGAAGAGGCTGGTCCTTACAAACACATCATAATAGAGTTTGGGGAGAGGATGAAGGTCCCCTAGAGCAGTGGCTCCCAATCTTTGGGGATTGGTTCTGGAGAGAGAGAGATTTTTCCATGGACCGAAGGAGGCATGGTTTCATGTGCTGCCTGCATCCTACAGATGGGGTTTGCTTGTTTGCATGGCCCAGTTTCTGGCAAGCTGTGGCCCGCTAACTGGTTCACGGCCCAAAGGTTGGGGACCCCTGCCCTAGAGAGTTACCCTGAGCTGGCAAAAGGTCCTTTTCTGCCAGTCCTGATGGAAAGATCTACCCTAGGTGGTTGAGTCTGCACGACATGCAAAACAAAGGGGCATTGCTTCACTCACACAATGTGTCAGAAAATGGACTTGATGCACCATCTACAAAAATCGCTATCAATGTTTTTGTGATGTTTTCAGGATGTATAAGGTCAGAAAAATAGATCCGAGGTGAGAGGAAAAGAAATCATTGCAAATTCAACCAGAAGAGATTGAAGGATCTACCTTCTGCATTTCTTCTAAATATGCATCGGTGAAATCTCGAGGTTCTCCTGGAGTCAAAGACGCCTTGTGCTTGTCTATCTCTTCTTGAAGGAAAGCTTCTATTTTATTAGCAATTGTGTATAATTGCTGATGGGGCAGGGGAAGGCTTCTCACTAAGGGCATCTCATTGTAAAGCTACCAGCAAAGAGAAGAAAAGGCAACATGGATTAATTTAATCATGATCAATATACCCTCCTTTGTAGGATAAATGGAGCAGGAAAAGAAACCCCTTGTAATATCTCTTATTCACAATTTGATAGGGAGTCAAATGCCCCAATCAGATAAAATTTCAAAAAA